ACAAACACACACAAATACAGACAAACAGATTACAGCCCAAGATTGAAGGAAGAACATGTAGATAATCGAGGCACTGGGATTAATAATGAGATTTGGTGAATGAGGGGGCTGTGGGTTGGGGGTGGGATTACAGCTCCCGGTCCGACGTTAACAAACACAATTCCCAGTAGACAGCGAATGAGCAAAACAAAGCTGCCTTAAGAGGATTGAAGGGCTTGGCCATTGTGACTAAAACTATGTCTCAGATTGTTTTGCGCTCAGAGAATTAGGATGACTTTGCCAAAATGGAAATACATGCGCGGATGTTGTCCTGATGCCTGTAATCATACACAATTATGCACACCCACATAAGTTATCGGTCTATGTGAACAGAGGTAATGTTTAGAGCCTCTGAAGGTTTTTTTTCTATAACATTAATTAAGTAACATTCACATTTTAGGTTAGGGTTTTAACACGCAGAAATTCAACAAGTCTAATCTGCTTTGTCACGCACGTGCACACACACACACACACACACACAAAGTAAGCTAGTTGGAAGCTAGATGAAGTGAACCTAACTCCATGTTCCTGGTAAACCAATGACTTTTTACTGTATTCACTGTAGCCCACAATAGCAAGTGGAAGATGAGAGATAAATGAGAAACAGAACAAACCCTGTCAATTAACAGCTGCCATGGGAAAGAGGTTTGAAGCTTAGAAACTTTTACATCAGATACGTCCAACAGCAGTTTTATCCTCTTTTTAAAAATATGGAAATGTATGCCAAATAATAGCAGCAGGATCATCATAGTTTAGATTTCTTTGCACATGAGATGAGGAGATTTGAAATTTTAGTTTGACTTAAATATTAAAGGGACAATTCAACGCCTTTCAGTAGTGCACTGTACAACACACACACCTACATCACATATACTTCACACACACAAGCACATACAGTACATGTTTACCTTCTCTCATGTAATTGCTACTTACCCTCTACTCCTGTGCTTTCATGTTACATTAGCACTGTTTGTATGTAGCATGTTTGTTTGTCTGCTCGTCGGTTTCTCATGTGTCTCAAGGCAGTGAAGTGACATGTTCCTGCTTTATTGTAAGTTGTCTAATTTCCTACTCTGTGTGTGTGTGTGTGTGTGTGTGTGTGTGTGTTTGTGTGTCCTTTCTCAATCCTGGATGAGAGCAAAGGAAGGAAAATGAGCAACAGAACAGAGGAACATTTGGATGAGAAATGAGCTGTCTACAGAACACCAATGAGATGTGCGTGTGTGTATGCATGCATGCTCACAATTTTGCAAGCACACATCACTGTGTGTGGTTTTTGCAGATTCCACAGGGCTAAAATTCAGAATATCTTGAGAAGCAGTTGAAGTGTGAATAACACAAACCAATGAAAAACTCACTTATTAGTAGCGGAGGAATTGCCCTGGAGAAATACCTTGTTTCACTGAGCCGCGTGTTCGTGCGTGTACTCTGGAGGGAGGCTGTGTGTGCAATTTGTATATGCAATAATTGCCAACAACAGGTGGATTGGCTGAGGGGAATTTTTTTTATTTTGCTCAAACAATGCATGGCTTTCTCATCAGATTCATATAGAGCTACTAAACTGTGAAGGGTGGAAGAGAAAAACTAAAGGAGGGATATTGAGATTCAGATGAATAAGAGAAAATTATGCTGGCATTTGTTTAGAGCCTTGAAGTTATAAGTCTTTGCTGTTGCTGATCGACTGCATTTTACAGTTTTCTTGGTCATTTCTGCTTCTTGATTTTTTTTTATTTATTTCACATCCTCATCCATGACAGATGATGAGAGATGGAAGGGTTAGAAAACTGTGCTCCATTCAGTTCTTTTGAATGCGGTACAGTAATGTCTTTTGGGCTTCATTAAAGATGCAGGAGTATAATGTACACTTTAATGTCAGCCACATCCTGGACCTATATGTTTTTGTTTTGCTTCTTCTTTCCCAGTGATTAATTAATAGATTAGAGAAATACATTCTAGTTTAGGGCACAGCACATGCATTTGTATTTGGTTATCAGGGTATTAGTTCTCATCTGTCTGTACTAACTGTATGTGTTGTATGCTGTGGAGCCTGGGAGGTGTCATGGTGGAGAATTTGTGGCCACAAGTGAATAATCTCTACTCTGGAATTCATAATTCATGTGCACAATTTATTTGCGCCCTCAATTCAGTAATTTGTGCACAAAAATAACTAATTCATGCACACTAATTTGTGCACACTAATTATAAACCAGGCTTCATCAGCACAGAGGACAAAGTCTGAGTCAGTCTTTTTTTTTTTTTCCCCTCCACGTTCCATCTCAATGATTGGTCCATAAACATTACAGAGAGTGTAAAAGCTACAAATTGCGCTGCTTTAGTTGACAGAGACACTCGCACACAGAGACATCTCATCAACTTCCTGTTGAGCTCTGTTGAGATTAGCCTTTTTCCTTTTCCATAACCTGTTCCTAGGATTATGTACTTGAAGCCCTCACACATTAGCAGGAACAATAGGCGCAGCATGTTTCCAAATTTCGAATCAGGCTGTGCTCATTTTTAGTAATTTCATTAATTATCCCCTCTTGGTGACACAAGATCAGTCAAGATGTAACTGTACATGACCTTCTCTGCGTCAGACAGATAAGCTGTAATAGAGATTCCCTGTTTATCTAGTCAAATCGTTTGGAATGGGCAGACCCTGAGCTCCATCAAGTCTCTCGGATGGAGAGACATTTGTTTCTATTGAGTTGCGAAACATTTTTTTCCATCTGCCAAATGTATTATCACAGGAAGCTTTCAATCAGCAAGTCATATACATATACATTCAACTCATATAGGTTGTTTGTAGATCTGTAGAAGCATACCAGACCATGTCATGTTGTCATGGTAACAACAATAAACATGTGGTTAAGGCTGTGGAAAAGTCACGGTTTTGTTTACATTTAGGCACAAATACTGCCTTGTTAGGTTTAGAGAAAGATCTTGGTTTGGGTTATTTAAGTATTTCCTTAGGTTAAGAAGAACCTTTGTCGTCATGGTTACAATAATAAACTTTCTTTCCCTCTTAGTAATTACTATGGTTACTGGAGGACTTTTTTTTCTTTCTGGAGGTCAGCCTCTTTTCAGTTTTGGTTAAATGGAATGTCTCAGTGGTTGAAGTGGTGTGTTTGCATGCAGAGATGTTTCTATATACTGGACACAACATGTCTAATTAATGAAGTACATAACAAAATATGGTGGTGAATAGTGAGAATGAAAACAACTTCTTAGTGTATCACATATATCATGACATCTCACAGAGTTGAATAGAAATGCTCATCCTTGTACAAACCCACTGGTAAAAACTTGTAACGGGGGGAAGGCTACTGAGAGGTTCCAAGACTGTTTTGCACCAAAAAACAATATATCAAATTATTTCTTAAGACAACAACATTGATTTACTCATGGCACATATTCTAGAATTACACATAAAAACTAGTTTGTACTTCTAGGCTTCTTAAAGTGATAGTTCGGGTTAGTTGATGTGGGGTTATGTTAGGTAGTTATCTATAGTCAGTGTGTTACCTGCAGTAGATTCGGTTCAGTGTGCTCCCAGTTTGGAGAAGCAGCTGGGAGCACTGGGCACAGAAGCTGAGCGATGTACTACATTGATGGAGCGATGGAACTACATTTTTTTCAAAGCACACCTACTCTTAGCTCTGTCTGGCTCAAACAGCTGATCTGCAGAGTAAAACATTGCGCGCCATAGTTGCATGCATGCATAGGAATACTCTAGTTGAATGATTTACAAAGTGTAGTTCTAAAGAAAAGGACTGTTTGACGGCAAGATAAAGTGGTGAAAATATTCCAAATAAAGCGTAAACTTTTTTTTTTTTTTATTTGGGCATTTTTGTGGCTAAAATACGTTTTTGCTGATGGCCCTGTCCACAGCAGCTCATCATTCAGCTTCTGTGCCGGTGTTCCCGGCTGCTTCTCCGAACTGAGAGCGGGCTAATCTGCTGCGGCTGAAACACTGACTATTGATAAGTACCTCACACAACCCCACGTCCAATAACCCAAACTGTCACTTTAAGGACCCTCCTAGTCTCATGTTCCTGCTCCTGGGGTCGTCAGTTCTACTGTTCCCAGCACTGCGACAAAACTGTGCAGAAATGTTAATGTTTTCTACTGACAGTACAATCAGCTGGGCTCTTGTTTTTGCTTTCTCCACTGGATGCCACAAGTTTTTCTTTTAGTTTTGTTCAAATTGAAATATCCCGCCTCCGCTTGTTTTGTTAGTTTGAAAGCATTGATCACACATCATGTTGTACAAAACAAATGTCTTTATATAGTTTCATCCTGTTGGTTACTTTTTTTGAAAATCTGAACATACACTGACAAATATGAGAAGAATGGTTGAGATAAATGGGTCACATGGAGAAAAAAGATCAAACTTGCAATATAAGAAAGATGGTAGAATAAGTGAGAAAGGATTGAAAGAGGGAGGAATTAGAGGGAAAGATTTTGCATTTAGGAACCCAAGGGTGAAACTTTGTTGAAGAGAGGAGGTGAGAGGTAAAAGTTTGACAGGAAGTTATAGGACAAATGAGTGCATGGATGTGTGGGAATACAGAGAGAGGAGTTTTCTAGCGATGCAGTGATTCTCCCTATGGTTTTGCCACTAATGAGAACATCTGCATCAGTAAAACAGCCGGAGTGAGAGAGACTGAGAGAGATAGTTGGAGGGGATGGGTGTCTGAGAGGCTAAACAACAAGACTTAGACAGATGTGCCGAAAAAAACGTTGAAAGACTAAAATACAGTAAGTGGTTCCAAAAAGGGGAAGGGGGGGGGGGTTGGGATCAGAGGAGTATTTTACACTAACTAGTTTCGGAAGGTAAGAAAGTAACCAACTAGTTAAGAAAATCAAATTGTCAATAGCAGGCACATAAAAGTCGAAGTCATCTATTTATTTAATTCACTAACTCGTGTAATTTTGGCTCTTGGTTTGCTCTTCTCCTCAAGGTGCCAATGCTCAGCTCAATTCGAAGGGCCTGAGTGCCAGCAGAACAAGCACAGTTTCCATGGCAACGGCTATGCCTGGTTTCCTCCCATGATGCCTTGTTTCGAGAGTCATGTGTCGATGGAGTTCATCACGGACGTGGCTGACGGACTGCTGCTGTACAGCGGCCCCTTGGCTCAGCTGCAGGCCTGGGACCACGAGGACTTCATGGCCATAGGTAGGAGCTCAGTTATACGTCCAGTCTGGCTCTGGATTCTGAATTCTTCACTGTGTGAGGACAGCTGTAACTGAGATGAGATGAAGGAAATCATTTTTACTTTGCATTTAATTGATTTAACATTTTTGGACCAGCAGGCAAATGTCCTCAGAACAGGAAATGAATATAAGTCCAAAAGCTTTGTTAGAACAGATGTAGAGGCAGAAGAAGGAGAGTTCAGGGAGACTATGTTTACCTTTAACTGTGTCTCTCGAGGAACAGCAATAGCAAATAATTATATGTTTGGCTTTTCTGGCTTATCTGCCATATATGACGTTTTAGCATTTAGTCAGACGCCACTGATTTCATTTCAACAAATTGATGTGGCTTAATGCCAGGTTTTAAAAAATATATATAAAAAAAGAAAGTGTTTTGCCTAAGGGGGGCATTAATTTAATAAGTGGCCATTATTACTGTAGGTGAGATGAAGAGTGGAAGGATTTAGTGCGGGAGAACAGACAAAGCGCAATCCAGGCAAACTTGTATCCCAGGGGGTACGGGGGAAATGTATTGTAGCTAGCTGGCTAATTAGAGAATAATAGAATGGAAATAATAGAAATTATGATTTGATAGAAAAAGAAATAGTGTGTGCCCGTAGGCAGCTGGATCACCTGAGCACCATGTATTGTGACTCAAAGTGTGTGAAAACTTAACTGTTAGAATAAATGGTTAAAATACATAAAAGCAGTGAGCTGGCAGTTCAGTTAAGACCCATTAATGGATAAATAGTTGAAACATCCATCTTCTGTAATTTTTATTATCCAGTGGTGTGAAAACAAATCACCTTTTATGTAATTAAACATGTGAAAAAACAACAAAATCTGTTTTAAAATATTAAAATAAACACATTTGGAACATGACAGGGGGTGCTGATGAAGGAGCACTTGAGTTTATCTGCTATGACTCTGGGTGCATATGTGAAAGAAAGAAAAAAGTGGTTGTGAACCACCGGACTACAGCGGTGAAATTCTGTAGCAAAAAAATGAATTAATTTCAGTGGAATTCATCTTGAATTAACTTGTACTTGCAAATTAGTGCTGTTGATCAATAGCAAGCAGTCTTGACAGCGCTAACTTCTGAGGGAATGTACAGCTGGAGAGTTCAAACTGGAGGAAGCTTTATTAGGTTATTAACTGTGTTGCACCTTCCACTTTTATTTAACGCCCTCTGTTGGGGTAAAAAAAAATGCTCCACATGGGGAAATGGTTTATGACACAGGAGTCAATTGTACATGTACGTCTTTTAAATAAACTGTGAACACATTGTCCCATTTGCCCACAAGTTTGCTGTCACATTAGCATGATCATTAGAGCTTTTTTTCCCCCTCTTCAATAAAACTCTGTATCGAATGAAATTATGTACAGTTTGAAGAAGAAAATACCAGGGGTGGAGTGAACAGCCCAGTACAAAGAGAATAGAAAAAAGGTTAGCAAGCTGTGGGTGCCCCGGTGGCTCACCTGGTAGAGCGCGTACCACATAGGCCATGTCCAGACCACTGTGTCCTGGGTTGAGTACGACCGTGACCCATTGCTGCATGTCATCCCTTCTCTCTCTCTCTCTCCCTGACTTTCCTGTGTCTCTCTCACTGTCTCTGTCAGAATAGAAAAAATGCCTCAAAAAAAAACTTAATAAAAAAAAAAAAAGGTTAGCAAGCTTTTGTGAAAAAAAGATTTTTTTTATGGCATGGCTTGGAGACAGTTACCTGTGTGGTTTTTGTGGTTGCTTGACTGAAAAAAAACAACATAGAAATATGTTTTTATTTTAAATTTAGTTTAGTTTTTCTTCATTTGTGATTTCTCAGTGAATTACTGAGTTTTTTTCTTGCAAACTGATGACTTTATAAACCCAAAGAATATTTGAAGGTTTTTTCCTCATAAAAGTTTTTCTCCTAAATTTACCTTTTTATTCTCATAGAATAGCCAATTTTTTTTTTTCATAAATTTCTGACTTTATTCACAGACATTTTTTCTTGGCATATTACCCCCTTCTGTGGCCCTGATGCGCCCTCAGAGTATAGTCACTATGCCACCAAGCTTGAACTCAATATTGTGCGGATTTTGCTGTGCCACTGATATAAGTGGATCCTCAGAAATGGAGGTTAAAAAGAAGACCACGAAACAATTTAAAAAAAAAAGGACATGACAAATTAAAACAAATTGCATATGTGGTCATCATTAGTTAAGGCAGAAACACAGATGTAAACTGGAGAAAGACATTGTACCTCACCTCCTCCCCTCTTTCACTTAGCCTAAAGACGAATGAATGTTACAAGACAAGAACAGAAATCCATTTCAGCTTTAATTCCCTGTGTGTATTAACTTGCCACAACCTGAGGATTAGGCAGTGACAGTCAGTCTTACACAATTGCTCCCACACACTCGTTGATTTTGATTTTATTAAAGGTGACACCCCATGCATTTTGATGCGTATTACTTTTAAACAGAATTGTTTTTACAAAAATGCTAATTTAGAAAAGGAAGGCTGTGCGGTGGACAGTCAGTCAAGCACACTTCTGTTACTCACAACGATATAAACCATGGATTTTGGTTAGAAATGTCTGAAGAGTGTGTAAACTGAGCCTTAACAGATTTACATCTCCAGCTCTTAAAGGAGAACGCTGGTCTTTTTTCTTTTATTGCTGCGGCAGTATTGTTGAACTTTAAGACAATAAAGCTTGTTGAATTGAGGGCGGCAGGCATTATAGACAGACAGAAACAGAGAACAAAATGTCTTGTACATCTTGGTATATTTAGTGTTTTAATCTGAGAGACTCACGCCTCCTTGTCTCTCTCTCTCTCGCTACTTCTTCCCTTGCTTTGGTCCTCTCTCTTGGGAGAGATGCTGTTGTTCCATCACTGCCAAAGTAATGTGTGTAGGAGGTGAGGTCCGCCTGGAGAGCCGGATGTGTGTGTGTGTGTGTGTGTGTGTGTGTGTGTGTGTGTGTGTGTGTGTGTGTGTGCACGTTCTGAGCAGGTTTGCAGTTTAAATCCTTGATTATTTCTTTAGCTTTGTTTGGTGTCAGAGGGTCTGAGTATATCTGAAAGCCAGTCAGCGTGTGTTAGTGGATCCTAAAGAGTTAATGGGTTTATTAGTGGAGTAAAGGCTGATTTGTCACTGTGCAGACTGTAATTACAGTCAGGCTGTACATATTTAGAGCTCTAATTAACTTGTTTCAAGGTTCACCTACTGCACGTAACAAATTCATCGTCTGCTGGAGTGCTGGAGCTTAATATAACTGCATTAAAGTATGTATGCATATATATGTAGGTCTAACAGTGTTACGATGATTTGTCGAGCACCATTTCCAACAAACTCCAGTGGCCATGGCAGGGTTCAACTGCTGCAGGCCCCAAGGTAAAAATGATCTAATGACCCTCTGCGTACTGCTTATGTAGGTGTGTGTTGGTTAAAATTGAGGGATGACCTGTATCTGACTCCTCCCTGACATCTGGTTTTACTATATAAAAATATTGTTGGACATTCGTAGGTTATAGATTATTAGAAGAAATTAACAAAACATTAATATGAAACTAACTATGAACTTTGATTAATATTAAAGTTATCCCCTGGGCACCACCCTAAACAGGGAAGGATAGCTGATTCACTTATTCACTCAAAATATTCTATCATTGAGGAACTCTTATTAATAACTACAACCAATACTATATTAATAGCAAAAGTTGAGGGATTTGGCGTTCTGCAGAGGAGAGGTTGGCACTGGGTTTTTTTGGGGCAGTGATGGTCTTGGACTCAGGTTGCAGATTGGTTGTTAACAAGCTGTCACAACTGTGACAATGTATCTAAACCACTTTATTTGTCAGTAAAACTCAAAGTGAGTAGTGTAGGTCAAAGCTGAACCTGATATTTGTCTGTGAACTGTGATGTAAAGAAACAAACACAATTATACAGGGATAACTTTACATTCACCTCGGTTTTGTCCTTCAAATAAGATGTTTCCAGATGCTGAGAGTTGAATATCCAGTTCGATTAAACGAGAATTAGCCTTCAGGACAATCATGAAACAAATGTTTCCAAAACAACAACCACCTCCTGAACAAAGAAATATAGATCTTTTTACAGTTAACCGTTCCTTTAGGCAAGGTAAGGCAGGTTTCCCAGTGGCTTTGCTTATATAGAACAATCACACACACCACACAAAGGATTTATTTGCCTGGACACCTAATGCACAAAGCCATCTGATATACAAACATTATTAAAAGACATATTCACCAGCCGTAGTGGGGGATGAACCTCCATCACATTCAGATATGAACAACACTGGATTGCCAGTATCTGATTTCTAATGAAAAGAGTAATATTGGCGCCATGTATTGCAGTTGGCTGCCTATACTACAAACTGTACACCTCACTAATCATACAAGGCACAGATAGGATTTTTTAAAAGAATATTAGATATAAAAGATATATAGAAGGGAGGAACGTACTGACTATACTGTACACTGTAAGCTGAGTGGAGGCGCATGAAAATAAAAGAAAGTGCTGTAAAAATTGTTAAATTATTCTTTCAGTCACCCTCACTGTCCTTGTGCACCACGGAGCTGATTAAATTGGATCCAGTTGCAGAGCATATAAAGGGCAAAAGTTAACAAAAGTAGAACAAAACAGAAGTAATAAAACTTGCATGCCTATTAGATTTTGAGATAAAACAGCGAGCCACAATAACAGCGAACATATAACATGAAGAACAAAGTAATAGAAATATGTTGTTGACGTTAAGGTGACACAGAGTTGCTTTCCCTGACCAGAATCTGAACTTGTCCTCTGTAAAACAACAAACACAACAAGGTTTTTGATTAAATGGGATTAGCGAGGCACCAGGGAACAGGAAATGCTTTTCAACCTCAACCTAAAAAAACACAGCTTCAAGAATCCTCCGCTCACATCGAAGCTCATATTGGTCTGGTGCTTAATTACACCAGGAATCAGACAAAATGGACCGA